CACAAAAGGTTCCTTGCTGAATACGGTTAGCACATTTGGGTTCCCTAGAACTACACAGGTGTACATATGCATAAATCTTCACGCCCATTCTTGAGGCCTCTGAATCAGTTGAAGTGCGACACTGATTGTCCAATTGGTAATATGTGGATGCTTGTGCATGCATGGGATCACGTTATTGCATATTATCATTGACCACAGATACTATGAAAGTTCAATTCATCATTGCCCAGTGTCTGCACACTATTTTCCATCGAGGAGCAGTAGTAAGAAGTCAGATGAGATTGAACAGAATAGGCATATTTAACATGTTCTGTAAGCAAATGGAATAACTACTCACAGATCAAGAAAAACCGAAACATAGACATTCAACGTGCTTGTCTAATAAGAATGACATGGTGATGAAATAAAGAGGTGATAGAATAACTTAAAATGTTTTCTGACAAAGTGTGTTGAAATAGCCAGGCAATACTAAGTACCAACTGACTTTAAAAACTACATAACTTCGCAAATGTCTGGAAAAGTTAGACATAAGGGCAATCAATGGAGACAATAACTTCACCAAATTTGGGAGCATGTACAATTCTGAAGAAGAAGAAAGAAACAGTAAAAAGGGCTGTTTTTGACCATTCAGGGCAGCAATGAGATCACTGTTTCACAGCTTTTGCCATTATCTGGACTAAAACACCAAAAACAAATGTCATTTCAATTACAAAAAGAATCAGGAATTACAAAAAAATCAACACTCAAAATTAAATAACAGTTCCTAATAGAGAAAGTGTCAAAACCCTTGTGTGCACCAAAATGCTGGTTGAACATAAGAATAAAAAACTGATAGAAAGCGAAACAGCTTACAGTTGCAAGTGACTGGATTCGAAGGCGCAGAAGGGAACAGCCATTTTGTATTTCTGAACTCGGGAGAAGTGAAGAGGGTCTTAATGGGTTCGTTGGCAGGACCAGAGTCTCCGAGACCATGAAGCCACAGAACAAAGCTTCGAGCCATGGGATCAGCCTCTCGAAAAGATGGGTTTTTGGGGAACAGAAGCACGATGAAAATGGCGATGCTCAGTGTGATTGTGGAAAGAACAAGTGGCTTGACCAAAAGCATAAGCTTCATCTGGGGTCGTCCATGGAGGTAGTTGTGCCAGGGCCAGATGTAAGAAGACTTAAATTGCCCTCCTCTTTTGGTATTTCCCAAACACACCCTAATTAATTCCATTTTCACATATTGGGGTCTATATTGTCCAAATCAAAATGGTCCCTGCCTTTTTCTTTTTCCTTTTTCCCCAATAATAGTCGTTAAAATGGCCCCTGCCTTTCTCTTTGTTCTATCATGTCATATTAAAAAAAAACATAATTTCAAAAATAATTTTATAATATATACGACTTATATAAAAATATTTTTTAAAAATGTTTTTGGCATATACCAAACACTCCAAAGTTTTGAAAATCTGCATTAAAAAATAAAAATATATTTTAAATTCTTTTTTCTGGTTGAATAAAAAAAAAGACAACAGTGAGAATTAAAAATAGGTCAAGTCATGAGATTTGTGGGTGACCGTTTGGAGAAGAGAATGCAAGATAAATCCTTCTCTTATGGTCTAGTCTTGGAGTATGGGGATACAATAAATATGGTGTGTTTCAGAATTTATGCACGCATTTGGCGTTTAATGTTTAGTTAGGGAAAAATATAAATTCCACCCAAATTATTGTTAGACACTAAATAAAAAGTTAAGAATAATTCTATAAATTTCTTTTGACACTTGACGACACGTTATTATATTTTTACAATAAAAATTCCACTCAATTGACTTTATTATTATTTTTTTTATTGATGAAATGAATTAAAAGAAAAGGAAAACTAAACGGAAAAGGAAAACTAATACTTAATCCTTATACTTGACCTCATTTTGCCTGAAGTCCTGAACCCCCACCCCCCAAAAAAATTTTTCGGATCTTTAAGGACTGATGGAGTCAAATAAACATTTATCATGAGTGAGGTAGTTGAGAGTTTGATGAGGTTGATGGTGACTTTGCATCCATATAGCTAAGTGAGTTTGCGTGAGCATAATAAGGCCTGTAGTGAGTATAATTTCCGAGAACTCTACCCCGATATACAAATGAAAGTATGAAACAAAGAAAATCTGGGAAAGAAGAACATGACCTAGAATTGATAACATACACCGTAAATTCGAAATGCCAATTCTTCAATATAGGCTTCCCAATACTACAATACAGCTAGAAAAACCCCGTCCGATTCTTTTATATGTTTGGATTGAGGAGGATGGAAGAGTAGGGAGGCAAAATAAGGTTTGATTTGGTATTTAGACAGTTTCTTTGACGTGGATATGATAACATACACAGTAAATTCGAACAAGTGAGTTTGAACAGGAAGGATTGCTGGTCAATTCAGACAGCTGCATGGTATTCATCCATTGTCTGTTTCATTGCTTCCAGCTGTGACATAACAAATTCCAGTTTCTTGAAACAAATCTCACTGCCTATTCTTGATCCATAGTCGCAATTCTCAAATGGACGATACTCACAAGCACTTTTGATCTCATCACGTAATGCCACTTGGATGTCCTATAAGAATTAAACGGAGAACAAAAATCAGGAAAGTTAAGAAATTGTAGCCCTCCAAGGTTTATAATGATGAAGCAAAATCAGATACCAGTCCACTGAGCATAATTTCACAGCCTCCTTTTCGCCATTTTATCTTGGATTTCTGACACTTGTTTCATTATTTCCTAGCATGCAAAGGCCAAACTTATATGGGAGATGTTGTTTCTCATAGCCTCATAGGCTCTGGCAAACAATTCTGAATATTTACCCAACAAAGTAGTTCTAAGACGTTTAGCCAAGCTTTGATGTTGTGGTTAAAAATGTCTATGAAGTCGCATGGGCTAATTCAGATGATAAAGGTGGAGTGGAATGTGGGTGTTACATCCAGATTCGAACCTTCTTAATGTAATTAGGAAAAGCTGCTTGCAAGGAATATTAATTTAATCTGGAGCTGTCCATGAGAATTTTGTTTTCGCACAATGCTAGGCTAGGGATTGGTCTTATGGGGTGGGTTGGGGCGGGGCTTCAAGATTCAAACACATGCTTGGATCGTCATCAATTAATTTACAAGCAGTTCTAAGCTTATAAAGGGAATAACCTTGATTAATTGCATGAAATCGAGGCAGTGGTTTTGGACCACTTCTTTCCTAGGACCAGTAGGGCTTGAAAGCTCATCCATGACTCCCCCGGCAAGCTCCAAAACCTTGACAATTCTCTACACACAAGCAAGAAAGAAAGAAAATCAATATAACACAAACTTTTAAGTTCCGTCACTCCATTGGTGTAATGGTGTTGCTTCTTATTGATTTTAGTATTACCTTCTCCACATTTTGAAGCCGCTGTAATGAAGTTGTCTGGCCCTGTGAATCCATGTTCATTGCACTTGCTTCAGCTCTATGATTCAAGTCTGAGTAAGTATACAACAATGAGCAAGACTTGATAATCATCAAATGCATCATTCACCGTTTTATAGTTTGAATCACATCAATTCTAAGGAGTTTACCAAAACTATTCTGTAATGTACCAAAAAGTATCATAAATCAAAATAAGACAAGCGTTCTTAAAGACTTCTAAAAAGTTGCAACATCTACTGTTCTTATTGCGGAGCTAATGCAACATAAATGTAGAGACTACGATTCATTTACCAGGAAAAGAAGAAAATACTTGGGTGGTGGCTTGGAAAAATTTTCTACTACTACGGAAGATAGAATGCCACTGCTTAGCTCATTTTATTTTTCATTATTCAAGTAACCAGTAGATTTTTGTGAAGATCCATGCTGTATTTTAAACAGCAACACTCCAATTTTATCGCAACCGAACACCGATGCCAAAGTCCATTCAAGTAAATTAGGATTAACGATAACGATTAAATCCGATTTAGGAAAGTGATATTATTCAGAGCTAGATGTCTACGAGAAAATTACCAGTTTGGCTAGAGAGTCCAGGCTCCGTAGGCTGAACTCAGTCGGCGGCGGTGGAGGCGGCGCCGAATTACCTATCACTAAGCAACTCTCTCCCCAGGGAATTTGGTATGAGGTGAAGCTGGGACCAGAATTGTACTTATAACTTTGCCAAACTAAAACATAACTTGGGAGAAGCTTGTCCTGAATCCTGATTTTGAAATTTGAAGTTCGACCGATCACTCAGAAGAAATCAAAGAGAGCCAAGAAACTGCTTGCCTCAAAAACTCACTTTTTTTGGGCATTTCCCCGCTTTTCTACATACTGATTTACGTATTTGCCCCGCCCCGCCCCGCAAAGTCAGCGATCGAGATGGAACTTTGACAGGCTGACACGCGGAGTGATATTATTGGTTGTTGGTTTTCAAGTGGACACCCACGTGTTTTATCGACGAAGTATTTGGTTGCCTCAGCGTTGGAGTCGCCAAACCCATTTTGCGTCGGAGACCAGAAAATCGGAGCAGAAATCCGCGAGGGCAGCAGTGTTCATGGCGGCCTCGAAGCTACAAGCCTTTTGGAATCACCCGGCTGGGCCAAAAACCAGTGAGTCTGCTCGTTTATCGCTCCATTGCTCTAAGCGAATTTCTTTCGAATCTATCCATTTGTGCGCTTTGTCTTTTTCTCTTCGATATGCCGCTTCGGATTTCGGTATCCCAGCGACTTCCTTTCATGCGAATAATATCTGTGAGATTAGGGCTATACAAACCTATTTTATGGATGCATATTTCTTCTCTCTGTTTTTTTTTTTTTACCCGGATTCTTTTTTTATTGATTCTCTGGCCGGCATCTCTTGAACTCTACTCAATTTTGAGAAAATTAGGGTCTTTTGGTGTTGCCCCAATGGCACTTAGTTGACTTTTTGCTATTTTAGATTGCTTGATATGGCTTATTACCTTGAGATTCATTGACCCCGGTTTGCCTGCAAATCAGTTGAAGAACCAGTTCCATATACATATATATGCTTTCCTTCTTTTGCAATTGTGGTCTAAATTTTAAACAAAGCCTTACTTCTGGCTTGCTGTTTTGCCTAAACCGGTGGATTACATGCTTGTAAATCGGTGGGTTTTCTTTAGTCTCTATGACGTTGCAGTACAAGTGTGCCCTCCGGATGGTATGCATATTCAATTCAGAATCAATCAGATATATCATTTTTCCATGCTTGCGATGTTGGCATGCCTTGAGAATTCATTACAACATAAACGGGGTGAGCTAGTATAATTAGAACTTTAGAAGCATGTCTGGAAAACAACAGAGCCACCAATCAATCAACATTTATAAATGGCTTCAAGTGCAGCCAACCTAGATTATGGCAAAAAGTGTTTAAAGAGGCTTTCTTAACGACGTGTGACACTATAATCAATCTTCGTTTGGTTTAGATTGAAATGATCACTTAAATTTTTTATCTTCTGGGAGTCTAATCTCCTGTGTAATCTCCCTAACTAATCTTTTCCTTCTTCCTTAGAACTAGAGATGGACTTCTGGGTGATTGAGACCAAGAAATTATAATTTGAATTGAATAAATGAGAATGCTGAAACAATTGGTGCTAGCACAGCAATCTTCCTTGTCTTTCTAATGAGGTATCGCATTCCAAACTTGCATGAGTTCTGGAAAATCCCAAAAGTGTTCAGTGTTTCTGAAGAATGAAAGTTAGCCAAAGCTCTTAATGCCTATCATTTTAAATAATTATCTTAGCTTGAGCAGAAAGAGGATGGTAGTTAGAAAATGAAAACTTGAGAAGAATAACCAAAAAAGAGCTAGAAGATGATTTTGACTGGGTAAGGGATGAAAGGAAAACAACTTTTTCTGGGTAATTTTTTGTTAAAATTAAATAATTCTTTGCATTTGAAAGCTAGTTCATGTAGTTCTAAAAGTTAAATATTCCTGTAATCTACCAAGTTGACTTGGTCCAACGTATAAGTTCAGTTTGATAATATCTAGAGCATTTAATGTTTTCCCCCCTATTTTGCCCTTCTGTGCAATTAAACTTTGTAAGTAATTGATTCATCATTTATAATCAATGTGGTATTAACTTTTGATGAGGGTAGATTTAGAAAGCACTACAAGTATGTGACGTCTTTAATGATGTAACTTTCATTCGATTACCATTTATGTTTTATATGCGGTAGTTAAATTGGGCCTGTATTGTGGACCACCAATTTGCTGTTAGCGGTTACCATCATTTTTATGTTTCAATACTAACGCCTGTATTAACCGTCTTTTCTGTGTAGTTCACTTCTGGGCTCCTACATTCAAGTGGGGCATCAGCATTGCCAATGTTGCTGATTTCACGAAACCACCTGAGAAACTCTCCTACCCCCAGCAAATAGGTAAGGCGGTACATTTGGTTTGTCTATTGTCTTTCCTCCTCATGCCTAGTGGATGAGCATATGAAATGCTGTGTTGCAAAATGAAATTGTTTTCTGGAAGAAGTTTTAGCGCATCTTTCCTGCGTTGGGTTTTAAGTTTACCTTCATGAAACTGTTTTCAATTTTCTTCTATCCAGCGGTTACAGCTACTGGACTTATCTGGTCACGTTACAGCACTGTAATAACTCCGGTAAGTTTCTTTTTCCCTTAGACATCTTGCTTTTCAACAGTTACGGCTACTGATCATGTATCTGTGGCCAATGCAGTCCCCTTCCAAAACTGCGTATCAAAATATTTTTAATCTATTCCATTCCAATTTTCCAAATGGGAATTAACTGTAATGTTTAAATACTACTTTTCTGTGCTGCAATTTCTTGTTAGATGTTTTTGTTACTGATTACGATGAAAAAGGGTCATTTGCGAGTAGGAGAAACATAACTTGCTTTTTGTTTTTTTTGGGGGGGGGGGGTCCCCTTTGAGTATCCTTAGGAGTGTGATTTTCTTTCTTTGTATATGTAAACAATAGGATTGTGTGTGCTAGAGTTATACTTACGGTCATTATTTGTTATGTTGCAGAAAAATTGGAACCTATTTAGTGTAAATGTCGCAATGGCAGGAACAGGGATATACCAACTCACTCGCAAATTGCAGTAAGTGGCCAAAATTTTTTAAATTTGGTTTTAGCGTCAGACGAGGATAAATTTGACCTTCTAAAACATACGTGGTCCAGCTTTATCGGAGAATTAAAATTTGATAATTTCAAAGAAAAGAGGCTTTCAAGAGGGAATAAAACAATTTCAAGGTCAAATGAAAATCCTCTGGCTTACAAGTTGTTCCATTAGAAAGTTCATTGCACTTCATTCTGTGATGTACATTCTTGATATACTTGCGCTGTGGCTGCAATATTATCGTTGTGGGTATTTGCTGTAAAACGCTTGAGCGCTCAACGTGAAGAGCTTGATCTTCTCATAGTTATACTCTTGCTGGCGCTTCACTTACATCTTGGGGAAACGATCATTAATTTATATTTCTTCCTCAGGCATGACTATTTCTCCGAGGCAGATGCGGCTGTCGCTAAAGAATGATGACGAAAATCTGAGAGAATCTGAACTTGTGATACTGGGTCTAGAAGCCATTCGTTTGACCTGACCGTAATCTTGGGCTTTGGAGTTCTTTTGGGAAATTATTGGCGATGGGAAGGCTCTGGTCCTCCTTAACTTTCTGTCATTTCATTCTTGTTTATATTTGATTGAAAAATAAGGTACACTCAATGCTACAGGTGCCTACTTGGTGGGCACCTGTGGCTAGACTACTGAAAATCAGATGCCAGGAGTTTTCGTACATTCTCTTTGGCAGAATATTATATCTTACAAGTCTGAAAACTTCAAAAGTATGTTTTCCCCCAATCTTTAAGTTTTTTAATCAAACAGTAGATAATGTAAATACAAGTTTACGGAAATGTAAAATAAAAATGTAAAAATGTACGTCATGCCTTGTAATGCAATTAATCGCGTATGCTGTACACAATAAATGGGTAAAACCCTCGGGTGCGGAAAATGGATAATGAGAGAAATAAAGTTAGACACAAGAGGTACAAACAAAGCTGGGAAGTGACAGAGGCAGACAAGCAACTACCATAGCATGTTTTAAAGTGGGAAAAATTCTGCCTAGGTTGGCTGTGTGAGTTAACTCCGCATGAAGATCACTATGCCATCCCTTGATCACAAGAACTCGCTAAAAAAAGGTTAGGAAGGAACTCTGAGCTAACTTCAATGTAAGACAGCGAATGACAGAAATAAGGCTTCACTGGTTCAGTGAAACCAGGGTAAGAATCAAATGCAGTTTCATCAGCAATGTTATTTGAATTAAAAAATTCACCCGAAATACATATGATCTGTAAGTCCAAAATGTCCTATCCCAGTAAATATCTGGGGGAAAAAATATTCTGTCTAATGCCAAGTAAAAAAGGTATCTATTCCTACAATACAAATTATAAGCAGCCCTGCAAGAATACTCAGATGTAAACATGCTAAATGACCGGGTGAGCAGAAAGCCAAGGTGAAATTCCATTTTGTAAGACACAAATGTGTGCGCTACTGCTTCTAAATTTCCATCATCCAGAGAATAAGGAAGCTCTGAAACAGTGTTCCGGTGCAACCTGAGTTTGCCATATTACTGGCCATCCCTCGTCTGATTAGGTTTTGGATCAGAGTCATGTTCGTCATCCTGGGATGTCAAGCCCAAACTTAAATCCAGTGTGCTTTCGTTCAGATCCTGGCGTACTCCCTGCTTTTTTTCCTGAGACAAAGGAAAACTCCCAGTCAATATTGGATTGAAAAGCTCAGTAACTCCTCAGGACTTGAAACAGGGTAAATCTAGAGAAGTAAGCTCCATATAACAAGGCTCGGTTACATCATATAACCCAGTCCCATGTCCAGAAAGAAAGTGACAACCATCATAATCTGGTCTAACTGCCGAAAACGTGTCCTTTCATAATTTTACTATATATGATAATATGTAATAAGCCTTGCCTTCCTCCAACTTATTATTATACTGACTATACATGCCAACCAGATGAGTTGTTTCTATCCAGACAATAACTCCTTCAAGGACGCATAAGAATATGAAAAGAAACGAGATTTTTTGGGGCAACTAAAAGAAACAAGTAGAAGTTCACCTGACTTTCTTCTGCAGGGACATCATTGATGTCCGGTTTATCATCTAAAGCATCACTCTTGCGAGTTTGTTCTGCTGCATTTGAGTCAATTTCAATTGGCTTAGCTTCATCTTCAACCTTCTCAGCATCCTCATCTTCAGCGGCCTCGTTTCTCTGCTCCTCCAGTAAGGCAACCTATGCCATTAAACAGTCCAGATGACCATACATTCCCGATGAGTGGTAACAAGGAAACAAATATTGATCTAGTTATCTTTCCAGGCCCAAAATAGAAGAAAGAAGTATTGAAATGATTCATCAATCAACAGCATAAAAAGTGACATCAGGCACATCATGGACCACAAATGTGAGCATTGTAACTGTTAAATGGACTCAGTTGTGTAACAGAAATTTGAGCCATGGTAGTAACAGGAAAACCGTAGGTGATTCTTGTTCTGAATGGTACATTCCACCTAATTACCAGACAATGTGCCGTTGTTTTATGGAACATGACAAACGTAGTTTAGTTAAAGTGGCGTATTCATCTCCAATATAACTGTCAAGTTAGTGAAGCAATGCTATACAGAGACTTATTTCCTACATTAGGCCTAGGAATATTATAGCAGCATCGTCTTCGACGAACTATGATATCAGAAATACATCTTGTCACAGCATCACCGGGGAAGGATAAGCATAAACCCCATGACTCGTAGCATCAATACTCAGTTTGCAAATCTTCCTAGTGGCGCAGCAAACCACATCGTGGAGTCAATAAACTAAAAGATGCATCGAGGTCATCATAAATACTATGCTTTGTTTGCCCATTCCATCCCCACCTATTCCCTAACATATGAACAGTTGTGAAAATTGGATACTGAGTTCTTGAATAATCTGAAAGATATTTTCCAGGATAAGAGTTTCTATGGGAATATCTTTGTTTATTCTGAATATTCTCTAAGATAGGGTAGCATTTTTTAGCATTTATTCTCTTGCCTTTCCCTTCCCTGGTTTTTTTTTTTTTGGGGGGGGGGGGGTTGGTTGTATCTTATTATTCAAATCAATAAGAAATACAAACTTCCCAATTATTCCACTGACTCTAGTAATCGTCTGATCAGAATATAATATTGTAAACATCAGTTGTTATTGAGCTACTTATGTTTGTTCTTACTGGCCCAAGCTAGCTACACTTTCCAGCGGGGATCAATTTGCATTGCTCAAAATTTCAAGAACATGATATTAAAAAGGTATGAATCCTCACATCTTTAGACTTTCTTATTCATTTTGCATCTTCTCACTCAGAAAACTCACCCAATAAAGTTATAATGCTATCATTAATACGAAATACTCTGTACATTCTTAATCAATCAACTCTAAATTTCAATCTATATTAGATCTGGCAAAATAAAGGATCCCTTCCACCCCCCCACTCTCACACAAACAAGAAATGTCACAATCCGTTTGAGAAATGCAGGACAATAAATGAGTCTGACTGAAAATATATTTTGCAAATTAAGAAAATACAGCAGTTAGGTCATCCCTTGTTATTTCTAAGAGTTTCCAATGGCACATAAGTAAAATCTTCTCATTTTGGTCCCTGCTTTTAACCAGAAGAGAATTGCATTTTTACTCAATGTTGAATGACAAATAATCTTAAGAAATTAAAAATCCCCAAATTTTCAATTATTCTTTCTCTTCCCACATTTAATCATGGGAATGACTGATCCCAAAAAGTAGAGATTCAACAATCTAAACCAATTCGTGCTTGAACAATTGATTCTCAATTGCCACCAACTTTATATCATGCAATATATAAAAACCCTACCACAAATGCAAACACAAAAATCATCACAGAACACTATTGCAAGCCATTAGATAAATAGTGAACAGCAAATGAGCCTTCCAGGAAACAAGATTTAGTGGGATAAGACAACATTTATCAGCATAAACGAGGCTTTCCAGAAGTTCAAGTTTCAACGACTGTTCAAAATATTTTATGAGCATTAGACACTTGATATGTAGAATGAGCCACAACTTGTCTGCATACTCAAGGCAATGCATGTATTTTAGCATCTTATATGATGCAAAGCTTTGAAGCAGCAGAATCCCATAAATGACAGTTCATTTTGATGAAGTAACATATTTGGTAGATATTGGAAGATTCTTCCACTTACATAATCATAAAGATAACATATTGGAAGATTGCATTTGTAAAATTGAACAATCCAAAAGACCATAGCATAAGGTCCGCTTATTGATAAATATGCCAAAAATGTAGTCTTTTCAAGGTACATTGCCATGAACTATGCAAATAAGCAATCAGCTCTTTTATGTCACAAAGTCTGAAAACCCAAAGGGTTCAGTTTCTCACACCAATAATTCAATTTGTTATAAATTCCCAAAGAATACATTTCTAAACCCAAGGTACCTTGAAATGCCTTGAGCTTACACTCATAAAGCCTAAAGCCAAAGTGAACAACTTACACGCAGGTCGTTTCCACCTGACTCAGAAAGCTAGTAATAATCTCACTCTCCATGTTATCCCCCCTTAATCTCAACACTCCAAGCGAAAATAATCAGCCCAACAACTCTGAATAGAAACTTGACTCATGAAAGATATACTTTTTCTTTTAATTTAGTTCATGGATTTCTAATCGCCAACTCCTGTCTTGCCAGTCTCAAAGTCATCCAAAATAAGGAAAAAAGAAAAAGAAAAAGGAAACCCTCAATTGAACTCTTGGAAACACAAAACCAAGCACCAAAGAAATCAAAACGAGGTCAGTATTAACTGTAAGCCGCACACGTACAGACCACTTCCAACAAAGTCGTACCTACCCCCAACATCTCAACCTTACCACCTAAGAAAACCCTTGAAAAATCATGCCAATGAGAAAAGTGGAAAAAATTGAAATGAGATCAATGTCAATGAAATACCGGAACATATTTGAATTTCCTCCGAGGTGGCTCTTCAGATGCCGTCCCAGCTGCGTTCTCGTCCTTGCCTGAGCTACTGTCCGTAGTATTGTTGTTGGTATTACCACCCCCGTTGTTGTTGTTGTTTTGGTTCTGGCTTTGGGTAATAGGGGTCCATTTGTAAAGCAACAGATGGGAACCGTTATTACCGTTAGAAGTACCGTTTTGAGGGTGAGAGTGATTGTTGTTAGAAGCAGCAGCAGCAGCAGCAGCAGCAGCAGAGGGCGATATGTGGACCCATTTCTTCTTCCACTTCCTCACCGGCCCAGTGAACACCGTGGCCGGTCCGTACCGAGTCGAGGATCTGCCGAGTCGGGCCCCCACCCCCTCCATGAATCGACGGCGGATCTACTGTGACGACTCCGATCCGCGCTCGGATCAAAAGGGGGAATGAGCTATAGAAATATTTTTCTTGTTGGGACAAAAATTGAAATTTGGATCTCTCTCTCTCAAAAAAAACCCTTTCTTTCTCTCTCTAGGAACGGCCGTCTTATAGCTCCTTTTATAGTTTAGTGCCCCCGTTTTGTTGAGATCTGACACTCCCTGTTAGGTTTTGTTTATACATTGGCCAATCATAGCCGTCCATGGCTTTTGCCCCTTCACAGTCAAGGCCATTTGCTTTTTCATTTTTTTCCCAAAAAAAATTGTGCAAATAACTTTATTACTTTCAATTAAAATTAAGTAGACTTGTGATATACTATTAGTAAAGAAATCGTGGACAAAAATAGTAGTAATAAAACTTTTCTATGTTCAACTAAAATTGAGTAGATTTTAGTTTTATATGTTAAATTGATATAATTTTTTTGAATTATATTAAAATTGTATAAATTTAATTTTGAAATTTATACATATCTTTGTAAAACACAGAATAGATATTATAATACATGACATATTATTTTTGAAATATACACACTTCTTAAGAACATAAAAAGGCATGTGTGTGTGTTTTTTTTAAGAACAATTTGTATAAATTATTACTAACTCAAAAAATTGAATGTAATTCATTTTATATACTATATATATATAAATATATATACTTCAAGAATTAAATTTTCTTGGGATTGTGACCAATAAAGGAATTGTGACTCGTTTGGCTCGTAGTAAAGAAACTACACTATTATGAATATATTTCAAATGGCGGCAAAGACAACGCTATAAAAAACACATGGTGTAAAAAGAAAAAAGTTACTAATATATAGATGAAATTTGCTTCCTTTTAACTTTTAAGTTTTAACACAGATCAAAACGAGCCGCTTTCTTCATAAATAGATTTATTATGGGCAAAATACGACATATATTACTGTATGTGCCATTGCTTTTATATATATACTCTCCCGGTCCTTAATATAGGACCCAATTTTTGAGTTAGTTTTGATCCTAAATATAAAACCCATTTCTCATATTTATCAATTTTCTCTAAATTACCCCTATGGATACTCCCTCAATTATAATCAAGTAAAAGAGGGAGATGGGGTATTAAGAAAGATGACTATGGTGTTTTAGAAAAAATGTGTCACTTTTCTTATAATTAACTAACTTACCTAACTTTCTTAATCTAATCAAATTAGTTAAATGAGTCTTATATTAAAGACCGAAATAGTATATATATATATATATCAACCTTACTGAAGATATAAATGAGTGAATTTAATCATAAATAAAGCATCACAAAGTTACACTATGCTCAGGACATTCTGAGTAGATATTCCAATTGAAGTTGTCCGTGCATGCATGTTGGCTTCTGTGTATATGGGAGGAGATAAGGACAAATCTTATTCACCAACAATTCTTGTCACTCGTCGAAAGAGAGATTCTAATTAATGTTGCCGTGCGTAATTTGAATCATTTTGAGATTGTATATGTCCCCATACAACATGTGATTTTAGGCGAATCTTCTTCCATACTGTTGGGTGATCCTCATGGATATTCCTGCATCTTTTGGAGGCAAACAGAGGCATGCCACGTTGTATATATAAAATGCACAAGGCAATAATAGACCAGACCCGTTTGCTTCTGGAGCAAGATATGTCGATGCTTATTAATTAGTTTAAAATTTATTTTGATCTTAAATATAAATATAAGAATCTGATCCACTTTATCTCTCATATTTATTTTTAAAGAAATTCTTTATAGTAGTTGTACATGTTAAAAATTTTATTAAATAGTAGTTCTAGCTAATAGACATTATTAGTAAAGATATTTTAAATAAGACAACTCCTATTTATTATAAATAATTAAGTTAGTTAATTTTCTTAATCTACTCAAATTAGATAACTAGCTCTTATATTAAGGATGAGAGGTAGGATTATATTCTCTTTCTTTTGCTAACGATACTATCTTCTCCACACGTAATAATGCTGATTTTTGATGTGATGACTGTCTTATCATGTCTAAATTAAATAAATATTTTTTTTATATTTATAAAGTTTGAACTTACAACTTTATTTAAATGGCATTTAGTTCCCTTCACTATATAGTTTATGAGTATCGTTAATCTGATATTATATGGTTTTTTTTTAATAGTTAATTTCTCTTTATATTTAAAAGCTCATATACATATAAATATAAAATGAGGGAAATGTTGTCCATTATTAGTGCTGATCTGCTATATATGGTTTGTTTCTGATTGGCGAATAGGTTCTGTTTTGTTGTTGGAAGCATTCAAATCCTTTAGACAATGACACAACCGAGAGGGTGGATGGATTAGAGATTTAGATGCCAGAAGGAAAATGGAAGAGATCATATAAAGAGAAAAGAAATTAGATATATGCATGTGGGGGCTGCACGCCACTCATTTAAAATCTCACTTTAAAAAGTTATATAAGATGATTCAGAAAAAAAAAAAAAAATATATATATATATACATAGATATGAGGGTGTTTGGATAGAAACTAAAAGGATGTTTGGATAGAAACCAAACCATGATTTCAAAAGTGATTTTACGGTTTATGAGGTAAATATGTAGATGAGTTTATTTCGATTTGTGGAAAAAGTGCTTCTGAAAAGCACTTTTCAAGGTATCCAAGCATCCTCTAAATCATGGTTTCAAAAGTGCTTTTACGGTTTACAAAATAAATATGTGGAGGAGTTTGTCTCGTTTTACGGAAAATTGTTTCTTTTGGACATTCCCAAACACCCCTATAATCAAGCTCATTCCATAACTTCAAAGTCAGATAACATGATAATGGATAACATAATATGAATATCGTAACATTTAAGAGAGAGAGAGAGAGACGAGAAGGTTATGATTTTGAGATTTAAACAAGTTTAGCGATAACATTAAACTATTATCAAGGAGGAAATTATTATCCACTACCTACTACTCCTCCTTTCTGCTGGATAAGAGATTATAATTGATATGGGATAATATAGTGCTGCTTTAAAGTGATTTATAATTCTTAATCATTATAAACAAGACAAGCCACTTATGTCTTCATTGATCAATGATTATAGTTGAAACCTCAATGTTGGTGTGTGTGCGCCTCTATATATGTAATACTCCTCTGGTCCTTAATATAAGACCCAATTTTTGATTTGATTTTGGTTTTAAATATAAGACCCATTTTTTATATTTATCAATTTTCACTAAATTACCCCTATGGATACTCTTTCAACCATAATCAAGTAGAAGAGGGAGAGGGGTATTAAGAAAGATGATTATGATGTTTTAGGAAAAATGTGTCACTTTTCTTATAATTAACTAACTTACCTAACTTTCTTAATCTAATCAAATTAGTTAAATGGGTCTTATATTAAGGACCGAAGTAGTATTAGAGATCCACATATCATTCATCATATACATGATGTCGAGCTTTGATTTGTGCTTCACAAGATTGATTGCTTCATCACTTTGTTGGATTTTTTTTTTGGGCCAAGCAAATTCCTCGTGGTTCGTGTTAATATATATCCTATGAATATATTAGTGCATTCCAGTTCTGCACTTTCTTCAGTGTAGCAGATATGGCTGTGTATTATTATGTGTATAATAATTATAATGGAAATAATTAGCCCATGAACATTAAATAAAATGTCCCCAAAATGGGAAGACATATATTTATAAATCTACCTCCTGCCCCTTAGCTCAAGTGAAAATGTGAAATGCACAATGGCAATTGAGAATGAAATTACCAGCAATCTATTCTCTGCAAATAATTAATCTAATTTTTACATTGACTACCATTATATCTATCTAAAAGATAAAAATTACTACCAATAAGCAAAAATATGCCTCCAGAGCAGAACACTGAAATTTTTTTACTTGTTTCATGTAGTTTCATTCAACTTCACCATTAATCTGTTATACTCATCATGAGTTCAGTGCAGTAGCCAGAAGTCCAACTCTGAAACCAGGTTTCGTCTTCCCATAGTCATCCCTGCAATTATATGCCTTTACAAACTTTGCTTCAAATCCATTAATAATGGACCTTCTTGGAGAAACATCCTCGTTCCCAGGTATAACGTCGTCTTTCCTAGCTGAGACCTCGTTGGTTGTTCGCCTGTAAGAACTGAACCACTTGGCCCGCACGTAGCCATGTCTCCTCCATGGAGGGACGAAGAGGTCTACACTCTTCATGGAAGCTTTAATGGCGGTGCACATCAGCCTCACAATCTTTTTCAGCTCTTCTAATTTTCCAACGAAGATCACCGGAAAATGACGAAGCAGAGAGCAATAGTAGTTCGTCGGACGAGCTATCTCGAATTCTCCAGCGAGATTCACTTCTACTATGTATCGTTTTCCTCCCATGTTTATGTCTAGGTACTCATAATCGCCTCCTGGGAATCTCGAATTTTTGTCCCACTTGGATTTGCAAACCCCTGAAACATGGGAGATGATTCCTTATCAAGTTATTCCTCTCAAGATATCCATATTCTAATAAAATCTGTATATTCTATGCGGCCATGATTCACACAGAAAAACCAAAAACACTCCAAAAATAAGCGAAATTGAAATTAAGCAATGCAATGTTCACATATTAAAAAAAAAAAAATTACCAGCATCAAAGCCCTTCTCCCGCAATCTAGTCATTAATCTCCGTTTGAATCCCGGCGACGACTTGTCTCCGACAGACCCATAAACAGCTTCAACTTGTCTTCTAATATTCTCTTTCACATTCCGATCGTCTTCGTCAACTTCAATTCCTTCAAATAAACTCTTCAGCTTTTCCTTCTTCTCACCAGAACCAGACCACTCGTCTTTATCAACATCACACAGATCCTCGCCCTCTTCACCGTCATCGTTAACCCCAAGCACCTCCTCTTTTCCTTCCATTTCATTCTTCTCCATGAACGACTTCACGAGATCGGACAAATCAGTGTTCGAGCTCTCCGGCGAGTGATCGCTCCCGCTGCTCTCGCACAGCCTCACGCGTGCAATGTCGGCGTCGAACGCCGCTGCCACTCTCTCAAACCTCACCCGAATCCTCGCCATCATCTTCACAATCAAGTGAAAATTTCCTCTCCCTCGCAAAAAACACGGAAAAGAACAGACCCTTTTCGCTTTTTCTCTCTCTTTTCTATCAGGGGAACCGAGAATTGTGTAAAAGTTCGAAAATTTTCCGTGACTTCCTTCAGAAGGTGGCGGACATTATTGAGCGGCGCTATGTCGTTGAAATGGCGATAGATGATTTCATGGAGTAAGAATGAGAAGAGAAACGGCGCCGTATTTATACTTTGCACTTATCTGCAAGCGGTCTTAGTTAAATATTGCTGCCAGAATGTATAGAGACCAAATTACGACATCCTTTGAAGGATCTAGCCAGAAAACCGTCCCGGTTCAGTTTTCCCTTTGTGCCCTGGCACATTTGGGTTGATTTGCTTGAATATACTAATATTAACTAGAGTCAATCTGTTTCAAGTTTTCAGCACTTCCCTACTCACTTGTTGCCGGAAAAAAAAAATTATAATTATCTATTTATCTCGGCCTTTTTCTAATTATAGTATCTTTTATTTTATTTATATTTGGAAGTGACTTTCATTCCCATTCCTCAATTGTTTTTATTAGCGTATTCCTAAAGTCCAGTTAAAATTCGATGCTGTCATTATTTAAGTGATCGGCCATTTATTTTAGTTATTGCATTTTTGGTTTGCGGTGATGTTGGGGCCACGGTATTTCGGTGAAGGTAATTTTATTTCGGATCTTTATGTAGTTGAATAAATCCCAACTAGAGTCATATACTCATATGTCATTATTTAATTAATGCAAAATAGTCATCAGAAGACATATTCTTATTTAAAAAAAACAAACTATTTGTTAGTTCAAAAGAGGTCATTAACTTCTAAATATAAAATGAATTTATGTGTACGAAGCTTTAATAAAATTTCCAAGAACGCGAATCAATTATTTTATGGGATTGTAATTTCGTACATTTTCCACAATAATCTTGGTGTATATTTTGACCCGAAAAATGAACACATGAAATGTTCATGTGTGGGTCCCCACGTCATTCGATGTGACGCGGAAACTGGGCGCCGTGAACAGTGAGAATCATTGGAGCAGCCATCGATGAGCCAAAAACCGAAGGCTCGAAGAAAGAGCCATAAGCAAATGGCCAAATAATTATAGGATAAACGTTAATACTGTCTTCGGTCTTTAATATAGAATGTTATTTAATTTTTATTTTAGTTTTAAATATAAAATCTCAATCCATCTTGTCTCTAATATTTATGTATTTTTTTAAAATAGTTCTTCTAACAATAGTAGTTCTAACCAATACACTTGATTAGTAAGAATATTTTAGGAAAGACAACATCTATTTATGACAAATAACTAACTTAATTTTTTTAATCTCTTGAGATTAGTCAAATAACTCTTATAATTAGGACCAGAGGTAGTATTAAAAAAAAGTGACAAAATGACCAGATTCAATGAATCTCAAATTTGTGTCTTGGTGCATTGAATCTTATAGCCCATCGTCGCGTGTTGGCCCGGCGCTTGATTTGGGGGTTTTGGTCTTTGATTACAAGTTAACGGTGGCTCTGGAAACTTTGGTAGGATTGCATGTGATTTCTGTGAGTTTATATCCCATAGTTACTAAAAACTTTTTTGCTTTCTCAACATCCAAATCACCTAATCTCGTAGCACGTTACTTTGTTGATATTTCATACATAGATAGATAGATGTATCAGGACAATGACATGTAAAATTTTCTTTAAAATCAGAGATTATGATATCGTTTGGCGCCAAACATTGAATATGAGGAACATGGATTATGATTAAAATTTTAAAAAAAATCTATTCAAAGAGTATTTAATATGAGAGATTGCTTATTATACAAAATTAGACAAATCTATATATGTGGAATTAAAGAATACCACGGGAAGAAGTGGTATTCTCCAATCCTACCTCTATGTATATGTTTAATCCCCATATAATAAGCAATTACTCATGTTAAAGACTTTTTTAATAAATTTTTTTAATTATAATTATAATCTTTATCTTTTATTTTTAATATTTCGTACCAAATGGGACCTTTGAGTTTGGACGATCTTATTTGTAATTTCAAACCATTAGTATTTGTTCATTTAATTAAAAAAACAAAAATCGTGGTTTGCAAAATAACCAAGAGTTTCATGTGTTTTATACTATGGCTAGTCTTATACCATGTGTCACATCTGAAAAAATAAGCGCATATACTGGGTTTCAATTTACTATAAGAGGTTGTTCACCACTAAATTAGGGACAAATTAGAAAATAACTGTGCTTTTTTTTTTTGTACAGATTTAATAAGGTAGACTACTCTAAACTAATCTTTTAAACATGTGTGTGTGTGTGTAAAGTATATGCTGGTTACTAATATTTAAAACGAAAGACAATGCTTTAAGTTGTTGACCAAAACGATGGATATAACTTCATTTATGCGTTCACTCAAATTTGGATCAAGGTTCACAGCAATGTACGTCAATTTGCCCACGTCCATTGATTAGCCAGTGATTATAACGTTATTATGGAAGATTCAATTGCTGTTTTTGTTTTTTTGGGGACATGTTGGACTAATTCACGCTGTATGTAGTTCCTAAATCAGTTTTTTTTTCCAATTATTTTGATTTTCTCTGTAACTTTATGACCTTTAAAACATTTTTTTAACTACAATATATTTCCGCACTTTCTATATTTATTTAGAGTAACTGGTTTTAAACAATATATGAATGATGTGATTTTGTGTCGCACATGGAAAAAATGCTCCTAGTTTTTGTCTCAACTAATTTTGGAAAAAAAGAGGGATGAGAGATTATTAACTCAATATACATAACACTATCTCCGGTTTTAATTATAAAACCTTATTTATATTTTATAAATAAAATCTTATAATTAGGACTGAAGATAGTAATATTGTAAAAGTACCCCTTAATAAATTGTCATAACATTTCTGATGTATATGATTCAAAATAAGCTGCATATATATGACCTAAAAAGTTTGGGGAGGTAGAGTTGTCCTCAAAAATTATTTCTAGATCCCCGTCTTTTCATATATTTGCTTTATACGGGTGAAATATATTATAGAAACATATCCTTAGCTCTCTTTCTTTTTATAGGTTTGAAATAACTAATTTATAGATAATAAATAATTAGTTAAAACCAGTTTAAAGTAATAAATATGTTGAAAATATTTTTGTTTCCAAATATATTCTTATAATAAGTGAGGAAAAAATAAAAGAGAATATGTAGGGAAATGTAATAAGAGAGAGTATGTCAAATGAGAGACAATAAATAATTAAGAACAAAATTAAAAAAATACATAAAATATTAAGACAAATTCAAATCGAAATTTATAAAATCAATCACATCCGTCCTAATTTTGAAAGCGCAAGGTGACATAGACACGAATGATAATACTAAGCAACATAACAATTGAAACCAAAACCTGAAAGATAAGCATTACTTCTTTAATTCTATTTATAAAATTAAAATTGAGAGACATGTTAACATGGAAACATGGCAAGACAAGAACCCAGCTTAGCGAAAGTAAACAGTACTATGTAATGCAAACTATTCCTCTTGACCTGAATAGCAAGAAAACCAAAGGAAAAAAAAAGAAAGAGAAATGGCAACAAAAAAAACTGTCAAAATAAAAAAATTACAAATAAGAACATATGACAACATTAATATGGGTTTTGACGACAATAATATAGGTTTTGATAACAATTTTTATAAACCAGTCCCTGTGTGTAATTTTTTTTTTATATCGGTAGTCTTTTTTGCCAGTTTTCCAAAAAAATATCAGAAGAGAAAACTCTAAAAATATTTTTTTAAAAATATCTTTTCATGAGTCTTTCCCTCTGTGTGCTAACAACCTTTTGATTTAATTACACCACACACTTCTTTATAAAGGAGGTTGTGGATTTTATATCCCAATGTTGTATAAATATGGTTGATAACTTGATACTACCTTCGCTCCTAGTTATAAGACCTTGTTTATAGTTTATAAATAAGATCTTATAATTAGGATTTAAGATAATATGTAACTTGCATTCCTTATGGGAGGAGGGTTTAAATTGCTCATATTTATCTATAAAAACCCATTCAAATTCCACGAGTTATAAGATATTTAATGTCCAACAAAGATCAAAACAAAGAGAACGTGCTCCAACAGTCCAACATGCTAAGCAAGGCAGCAAGCATCCGTCATAAGATGGCTAGGAACCCAACTTGTTATGGTCTGTTTAATTATAAATAAAAAAAACTAAAAGGAGAACACATCAACAGGGAATGTCCCAATGCTAATTAACAGGAAAACACGTCAAGAGCACTTCTTCCTCCTCTCACATTCAAAGCCTCAACCTCACACCAACTTTTGTTAAGCTCTCATATACATATACTCCCCTTTTTCTTGCCTCTTTGACAAACCCACTACATTTTCCGCCTCCTCTCCTTCTCTCTCCATTTTCTTCCTCAACACTTCACAAAAATGAATCTTCTCACTCCTAGCCATATTGTTTATGATGTGGTCTTTGCTTGGTCTATCAATATCCCTTGTCATTCTCGCCATAATTTTCTTCCTTGCCTGCAAAAAGAAAACTGTAGCAGAATCCAAAGAAGCACTGCCTGTAAAAATCTGTGCTTGTTCATACCCAGCAACATCGACACCGAAACAGAGGCTTCAACCACTGAAGAATCGTCGACAAGGGCTGACTCGAAACTTCGTACGCAAGGTTACTCAGACAAAGAAGAACTCGTAGCGATCAAAAGAATTCATCCTTCGCTTGTTCTGAGCTACGTAGGACTTGTGTTCTCCTCTATGGTAAAACGGCTCTCAACAGCACAACACCCCAACATAGTTCCCATCATGGGTTCCTTAGAAGAAGTCAACGAGAGAATCATAGTGAGTGAATTGGGCAAGCCTGTAATTGTATCTGCATCAAACCCAAGTAGGTTTTGCTTTTTGCACGAGACAAAGAGGTTGAGAATTCGCGGTAGGAGCACAAAGAGGGTTTGAGTATTTGCACGAAGTGGTTGCACAAAGCATAATTCATGGTTGTGTCAAGTTGTCGAACATCCTCATCAGCACAAACTTCTGTGCCAGAACTTCAGATTACGGAGTCAAATTTTTGGCGTCGAAAGAGATGAGGGAGATAGTGGGGTAGTGTAAACGGAAGAGTGTGGAGGTGTTGTCAACTGGGCAAGAGATGGTTGGAGGAAAGAGGGGTCAGGCTAGATGGTGAAGGACATGTCTCGGACATCCTAACGGAAATCTTAACCGCGTTGCTAGTTATTTAACAGTAAGGATGAACTAATCTAACAGTAAAAAAATTAAAGGACTTAATTAAAAAAAATACAAGGACCTACTTCAAAATTGATGCAACTATAAGGACTTCCAAACTAATTTTTTCATTTATTTTTATCATTGATATAATTATTGCAATCATCATTATTATGATATTAATTTTTTGAAAAATTTTCTTCATTTACCTTTCATCTTGCTTTCTAAGCGCGCCCTTTCTTCTTCAGTTCGTGCCTCCGCGCCGCATCGTCGCTCCCCCAGGCTGCTCTCCTTCTCGGCCTCCCCGAACCCTATGTCGCACTTTTTCCTCTATCTGTCCCTTTAGAATTTCACTGCTTTTGGTATTTTTGGTGACAGAAGTTTGATATTGTCTCAGGTGCTGCGATTCTTGCTTCTTTTGTTGCGTATTTCCACTAGCTTTTATTAATAAAAACTACCTCTGAATTTTTTTTTACGTTGATGCATGGGGGTCATTTTCGCTGAATGAAAAATTACGTTCTTTTTTTGCCTGTTGGCTGTTGTTCTACCTTCTCCTTTTCTTTGTTATTTTTGCCCCCTCCTTTTGTGTTGGCTCTGCTCCCATTGTTGTCCTGTGATGTGTGCAATGATTATTATCTGATGGGTTATCTTCAGGCTCATTCAATTGTTTAACAAAATGACCCTATGCATTTATTTAAAATGCAATATGCTCGACTTTTGTGCTTATCATGTCCGTTAACATATTAACTTGTGCTCATGAATTACAAGTTTACATCTAAAGCTGTCCATTTACTTGGCCGAATGCTTATGTGAGAGTTAAAATATTTCTCTTCTGGGATGGCTAGTGTCACGTGGCAGCGCAACTTTAGCGGCCTTGCAAGTCTATGCAGTAAGATATTGGTTTATAAGTGGTGCCCTAGGTGCCCAAATGTCAATGTGAAATCTGTGATTTTCATAAACAGCTGTTTTTTTTTCTTTTTTAAAATTTCTCTTGGTCTGATGTAGTGCTATTTTGATATTATTCCTTGTTCATGTGTGCTTTATAGTTTATGTGGTTAATCGAAGCACAAGTGGCGAGTGCTCAACGCTGTTGGCTGCTAAGTGGCAGTTCTTTTGTAAAAATTTAATTTATAAATTATCTAGTTACTCCTCCGATCCTTAATATAGGACTCAATTATTGAGTTAGTTTTGGTCCTAAATATAAGACCCATTTCTCATATTTATCAATAATCCCTAAATTACCCCTATGGATACTCCCTCAATTATAATTAAGTAGAAAAAGGAAAGGGGGTATTGAGAAAGATGATTATGGTGTTTTAGGAAAAACGTGTCATATTTATTACAATTAACTAACTTACCTAACTTCCTTAATCTAATCAAATTAGTTAAATGGGTCTTATATTAAGAACCGGAGGAGTACCATTTTTTAAGGCTACATATTAGAAAGCATTAGAAAATAAAAATTAAGTATTAATTGCGAGGGAAATATGAGTTTTAAATTCTTAAAAAGTTAATACTTTGAACGAACTAAATAAGATAGATTTTCAAATTTTTCAGGAGGTTTAACTTCTCCCTCCAATCTATAAATGCGTAATTGAATCATAACATTTAAATATAATAAAGGTATACTTTGTCGGCAAAAAAAAAAGGTTATAAGTTGCAACGCTTTTATGCACTTCTTTGCCATGTGAAAAGATTAATATAATTTAAATTTCTTAATAAAGTTAAATTACTCAAAAACTAAATATAATATAAATAGGAAAGGAAAACAATGTTATTGACTTCTTTTTTTTTAAAAAAAATGACAGAGAAAAATTCCTGCGCAAAAAAAATGCAGTACTGAATGTAACCCTGACTCGCATGTCGAGAAGAGATTCTCCGCCTCATGCTTCTGTTATCCTCCGTTTGCCGACCCAAATATTAATTAGAGAGCGAGAAATTGTCCTGCGCAGAAGAATGAGATCTACTTCACCAGAAGCGTTTTGCTTTTCTTGATTAATCTGCCCAAGTATGCTGCTCCTTTATGAGTTTTCTTATTTATATATTTACCATCCGATTTTGTTTTGTTTTCGGGTTTTGTGTGTCTATTCACTTTGCTTTTGCTTATTGTTTTGGTATGAGCAATGATGGTGATTGTTGATCCTCCTATAAAGTCTTCGGATTTTGTCTTGACCCCTGCTGTTTGGAGAGAAACAAAAATTGCTAAGATTAGATATTTTGGGCAAATTTGGTATAATTGAATTGGGGCAAGATTGTGAGCTTCTCTTGCACTCTCCTCCTCCTCGGGGGTGAGGTGTTTCATCGTAAAAAAGGATTACTGTTTCTAGGATCTTATTTCTGCCTTTGGAGAATAAATAATTAATGTCGTATTTCCACATTCCAATCAGATGCTCAATGAGCAGAAGCAATTAAGCAACAATTGTTTTTGAAGGCTGTTAGCAATTATCTATTCGATGTGTTGTTGTTAAGTGTAGTGGGCCTTGCAGAACATGCCTTGGTGTTTCTTTCTTTCTTTCTTTTCTTTTTTTCTTTTTTGGCTTTCGTGGTATCAGATTATGGTTGGTCGATCTATCTAAGAGTTTTACTAATCCATGATCCTTTCTGATTTATGTAATGATTTATAGTTAAGGATGCATGTTTGTTGCTTCCTCTCTTGTGTACACGTGCAAAATTCTTGCTAATCAAAAGGCAAATTTTCTAATATATCTTTAGGTTAGATGTTTGCAATATGAATCCAGTAACCTTATTCCATTAGCTATTTTTGTTTCTGTTGTGAGGAGTTGAGTTTTCACGTGGCAGCGCAACTTTAGCGGCCTTGCAAGTCTATGCAGTAAGATATTGGTTTATAAGTGGTGCCCTAGGTGCCCAAATGTCAATGTGAAATCTGTGATTTTCATAAACAGCTGTTTTTTTTTCTTTTTTAAAATTTCTCTTGGTCTGATGTAGTGCTATTTTGATGTTATTCCTTGTTCATGTGTGCTTTATAGTTTATGTGGTTAATCGAAGCACAAGTGGCGAGTGCTCAACGCTGTTGGCTGCTAAGTGGCAGTTCTTTTGTGGTGAAAATTGGTCTAGTCCTTCTAAAATTCGTCCTCATATTTTGAATTTGGTTTACAAATGATAATGTACCATAATGGTGCTATAGCATAGGTTTGTTTTCCGTTTAATTTTATATTTATTTTATTTATTTTTTTTGGTTTCCGTATTGCTACGAAGGTATGAAACTACAAGTCAGTCTTAAATTCTTTATTTATCCATCATCAATCATTCAGTCATGTTGAGTGACAAAGTGTTGAGAAAATTGCATGATTGGCTGATCTTTTCTGTAATCTATGCTAACTTGTTAGTATTTTCTTAATGATTAATTAGGTTGTAAGTTATTGAATAAGCAAACAAGACAAAACCTTAATAGACTGTTATACAGGGTCATAATTCCAAGCATTATGCATTGATATTAAAACTGAAACCAGTCTTTTGACTATTGATTCCTAATGATGTTGCACAGATTATTACTTATTTTTGTCTATCATGCTTTACTTTTTAATAAACATGTTGCTGTGTATGAAGTATGATTACTGCTTGTTGAGGTACTTTCATCTTCAGTTTGTAGTTGGAAATAAAGGTTTTGGCATGTTGTCACATGATTTGCGGGGATTTCTAGCTGCAGCTAAACATGCCAGTTTGAAGATGACAACAGCAAAGATAATATATAGCTTTTGGGATCCGGTCATATCTACAGCCTGATTATCCAGCAAAAAACTATACACAATCATCCGCAGTTGCAGAATTTCAAGTTTTTAATTTATTTATCCATAAAAGGATCATAGCTACTATGGAAGTTCGAAACTTGCTTTTAGCGGTTTGTCCAGACTTATCAGTTCCATTGGATAGATATGGAAAACAATCATGCCTTATTAAGTCACCTCAATTGCCTTCTTCATCCTATTGTTCTTTCATTCAGTTCCAGAAACTGGCATCTAAGGGAGCCTGTAACTGTATTACCTACAAAGTGTCTTCTAGGAAGAAAATTGAATGTAGTGGTAATTTAGAACGTGGGGTTTTCACCACAGAGGCTAGCAACTTGAGTGCTCAAGTCAGACGGAAAAAGCTGGCTGTTTTTGTCTCAGGTGGCGGATCAAACTTTCGTTCGATTCATGAGGCATCAATTAAGGGATCAATTCATGGAGATGTCTCTGTTTTAGTTACAAACAAAAGCAGTATGTATTATTTTAAACCTTTATTCTCCTGTACAATAATGTGGGATCTTTGCTTTTCTCAATTATTAGTCCTTTTATTTTGTTTTTCCTTTCGAAAGATCTTCATCTCTCATTCGTGTCTTCTCTTTACTTGCATGTTTCATTCTTTTTGCTTATTGTGGGTAAGGTCATTACTGCTACTAAATGTCATCAATGTCAAAGAAGCCCTTTTCCCTTGTAAGTTAATGTTGTGCATTAGTAGTAAATTGGATTGTTGGTTTCTTTTTCTTTCCCTTTGCAGACTGTGGGGGTGCAGAGTACGCCAGAGATAATGGCATCCCAGTTATACTATTCCCCGATGATGGACTATCCCCTGGCGATCTTGTTAATTCTTTGAGGTCATACAGATATACAACTTTTTGAGCTGTCCTTTTTTTTTCCCTCCCCTTTTTGGTTAGTGAAGAAAAGCAGAAAACTAACTTAGCCTCTGTACTTTAATTCACTAAACTTCTCTTCCATTTATGGGAATAATAACACAGCAATCTCTACAGTTACTATAGTTACCATGGCTGTGTGAAAATATCATCTTTTCTATTCGTGAGTCGAGAATAATGTTTGTCAAGTTCAGATCTTCTTAACAACAATTTACCTGCAAGCGAATGTGTTGGTGAGACCTGGTGCATAAATACGTGGCCATGTCATTAATATATGAAACATTATCTGCATCAGGAGTTTGGAGATTGATTTTATCCTTCTAGCTGGGTACCTCAAACTTATACCAGTGGAATTGATCCGAGCTTATGAAAGGTCCGTAATAAACATTCATCCATCACTTCTTCCAGCATTTGGAGGCAAAGGCTACTATGGAATGAAAGTACATAGAGCAGTAATTGCTTCTGGTGCAAGGTATGCTTCTTGCAAAATATTTCCACATATGCTCATTGCCATTGAGTACTACATGTACTTGGATCTCGATTACCTTATCTTTATTTCTCTTATATGTGTTTAGATATTCGGGACCTACAATTCATATTGTCGATGAACACTATGACACCGGGCGTATCCTTGGCCAGCGTGTTGTGCCTGTGCTTCCTAATGACACTGCAGAGCAGTTGGCTGCCAGAGTTCTAAAGGAGGTGGATAATTGGATATTTTTATGTCATTGATCCCTGCCCCCAATGGATTATAGAGATGAAACAATTCTCAAATTGATCCCTTCATAGAATTATATTCTCATTTTAGTTTTTTATGATCCCCTTAAAAAATTGTGAACAAGTGACTTTGCTGATAGCATTTATTGGTACCATGTGGCATTAGTTGTGCCCTGTTATTAAGTCCTTTAGCAAAGTGGGCGACTCGGTGATCAGATTGGATGTAAATTTGAAAACGATGGACAAACCTGGGAATAGAAGAAATCCATTGAAAACAAATCTGACAATCAATCTATTTGTCTGGGGCCAAAATGAGATTTTATTTGGCAAGTGCTTTAATGAAATGATTTTTTCATGTTCTCACTTTCAGGAGCACCGGTTATATGTAGAGGTGGTTGAAGCTTTATGTGAAGAACGTATAGTTTGGAGGGAAGATGGTGTTCCTCTCATTCGAAGCAAAGAAGACCCCAGTGAGTTAAGCTAACAGAAGTAAAGACTGGTCCTTTAATGAGGTCTTGAGGTCACCCTGAAGATCTGATTTCACTGTCATATGGTTATAACATACATTCTTTCAACACTCCTTTTCACTGCAATACCTATCACTTGATGAAATTGTCTTGCAGTTTCAATGTTTTCTGCTGGTGGTTTTGGCCTCATAAAACTTGTAACTTTGACAAAATTAGTGATGAATAATGATATGAGCATCAGATGGGTTTTGAGGGGCCCCTGATTAGGGTTGTGGGATTCTTCTCGTATGTGTGCCCTTGGCTTCTAAAAGCTGTTGGGCTCTGGACGACTTCTATACCTGATTAAGAATAACATGGATCGAGTTCAGATCATCTGCTGTGATGGTAACATTTGTATCTTCATTTGACCTTTTAAATTATGAGAAGAGATCTCAGTGCTTATCCAACTGATGATAAGTTTGGATAGTTGTTACTTTGTAGGCTGTTTTGGATTACATTGGTTTCACAAAATTTTTAAGAACGATGTGCTCTAATGTAATACCTCTAATAACTATTCCTTTCATTGGGTGTGGAATTTTTTGTTACATGCTCATATTCACACCCTCATCTTGCTTTCCTGGGATTACATGAAGTTCTAACGAGAGTAAAATTTTTTTTTGTTTATTTTCGGATTTCAATATTAAATTTCTTCTGTATTTATTTCGGTCTAGATCCAAGCATATGGTAACAGTCCCAGCCTGGCCCCTGGCGCATAAAAGGCATGAATAACTAAACAAGTGGGGATTAATTTTGTTTTATTAAAAGTAAGTCATTTTATCATTTTAAAATTATATTCATAATAAAATAAAAGTTATATTTTTAGAATTAAAATTAGGTCACAATCATATTTACTTCAGTTAAATAATTATTTTTTTGAAATTTATAGTGTGCAAAATTATTTGATAGAAATTTATGAAATACCAGCTAAATTGAAGTCATCAAATGTGTTTCATTTCCCGTCTTCTCTAATGTCTATTGAGAAGCCCGATCCTCCAAAACTCAGATGCCCGTACGTCTGATTCAATCACGATGCTTCCTATCAGGTTAACTTTCCAAGAAGTACTCTCTTACACAGGAGTTGTTGCCCAAAAAAAGAAAAGAAAAACGCATTAGAGCTAGTTGGGATATATCTAATTTTAAATATAAGATTTTAATTATTTTATTTCTTATATTTATTATTTTTTAAAATTAATTGACTTAACTTATAAAATAATATATAATTTACTATTACATATGATTATTTTAAAGAGATCATGTCACTTTTATTATAATTAATTGATTAATTAATTAATTAATTAATTCATTCATTCATCTAACATTTTTAATTTATGAAAATTAATTGAGTGGTTTTTATATTAAGAATTGAAAGTAGTGTATTTTATAAAAAATTAATTTTTAAATTATTTAGTTACCATTTTTTAAGTTATAATATTTTTTAAGGCTACTATTAGAAAGCATTAGAAAATAAAAATTACGTATTAATTGCGAGGGAAATATGAGTTTTAAATTCTTAAAAAGTTAATACTTTGAACGAACTAAATAAGATAGATTTTCAAATTTTTCAGGAGGTTTAACTTCTCCCCTCCAATCTATAAATGCGTAATTGGATCATAACATATAAATATAATAAAGTTATACTTTGTCGGCAATATAATTTAAATTTCTTAATAAAGTTAAATTACTCAAAAACTAAATATAATATAAATAGGATTGGAGCGTATCAAAAAATAGGATTGGAAAACAATGTTATTGACTTCTTTTTTTTTTTTTTTAAAAAAAATGACAGAGAAAAATTCCTGCGCAAAAAAAGAGCAGTACTGAATGTAACCCTGACTCGCATGTCGAGAAGAGATTCTCCGCCTCATGCTTCTGTTATCCTCCGTTTGCCGACCCAAATATTAATTAGAGAGCGAGAAATTGTCCTGCGCAGAAGAATGAGATCTACTTCACCAGAAGCGTTTTGCTTTTCTTGATTAATCTGCCCAAGTATGCTGCTCCTTTATGAGTTTTCTTATCTATATATTTACCATCCGATTTTGTTTTGTTTTCGGGTTTTGTGTGTCTATTCACTTTGCTTTTGCTTATTGTTTTGGTATGAGCAATGATGGTGATTGTTGATCCTCCTATAAAGTCTTCGGATTTTGTCTTGACCCCTGCTGTTTGGAGAGAAACAAAAATTGCTAAGATTGGATATTTTGGGCAAATTTGGTATAATTGGGGCAAGATTGTGAGCTTCTCTTGCACTCTCCTCCTCCTCGGGGGTGAGGTATTTCATTTTAAAAAAGGATTACTGTTTCTAGGATCTTATTTCTGCCTTTGGAGAATAAATAATTAATGTCGTATTTCCACATTCCAATCAGATGCTCAATGAGCAGAAGCAATTAAGCAACAATTGTTTTTGAAGGCTGTTAGCAATTATCTATTCGATGTGTTGTTGTTAAGTGTAGTGGGCCTTGTAGAACATGCCTTGGTGTTTCTTTCTTTCTTTCTTTCTTTTTTTTCTTTCTTTCTGTTTTGGCTTTTGTGGTATCAGATTATGGTTGGTCGATCTATCTAAGAGTTTTACTAATCCATGATCCTTTCTGATTTATGTAATGATTTATAGTTAAGGATGCATGTTTGTTGCTTCCTCTCTTGTGTACACGTGCAAAATTCTTGCTAATCAAAAGGCAAATTTTCTAATATATCTTTAGGTTAGATGTTTGCAATTTGAATCCAATAACCTTATTCCATTAGCTATTCTTGTTTCTGTTGTGAGGAGTTGAGTTTTCTTGCTTATTATCTACACAGTGAGTGTTAGAAGACAGTGACAAGTTTGTACTCATATCGTTGCTTTGCTGACATAGGATCTGGGTGATGTTGCCTACCTCAATGTTTTGTTAATAGGGTGCTTACACTTCATGTTGACTGGACTTGATATGGCTATTATACTTATTGATTAACGTGTTGGTTGGCATGAGGTTGGATTACTGATTGGTTGAATTGCTTGCATCATTTTAAGTTTTAGCTTTCATTGGGATGACCTGCTGCCTTATGGTTTGCGGGATTTTCTAACTCTGCAGCTTCAAAATACAGTCAAACAAATTGTCAGGCTGTAGGGGAAAATGGCAGAGACGATATCTAGCTTCTGGGGTCCAGTCACATCTACTATTGAGTGTTGTGAAAAAAATTATGAACATTCATCCTACATTGCGGAATTTTACAACACATTATCCAACATTCCGACCATCCTTTTGGCACTTATTGGTCTTATAAATGCTGTAAGACAGCGGTTTGAGAAAAGATTTACTGTGCTTCATCTATCCAACATGGCACTTGCCATAGGAAGCATGCTGTACCATGCCACGCTGCAACGTGTGTAAGTATTGATCCCCAATATCCCTTCAACGGTTGAAGTGAATTGATGCCTGGTTGTTGGTTGCTTTTATGCCCTTTAGACTTGTTTTGTTGTGTCCAATAGGTTTGGCAGGTTAGAAATATTTGTTGTTTAAATGAGGAAATGAAGACTGCTTAAGGGATGTGTACAAAACCCTTTATTTATTTATTTATTTTTCTATTTGTATTTGTGTGTGTGTGTGTGTGAAAACAGACCTGGCTAAAAGTTGCTTTGGGAAATTATTGAAAACAGAGCTTTTTGTTTTTCTGGGAAGGGTGTTCTTTTCAACAAAATTACAGAAGGTTGACAAGAGTAGCTGGCATTACTGTACGATGGTTATAATTATTTCGTAGTATTATCTGGATTTGTGGGCTATTGTTCAGGCTTCCATCATTAAGACGGTGACTACTTGTTTTTTTTTTTTTGGTTTGGGTTCAGATAGTGACATCTTTTCTAATATGGAGTTTTACATTTTGGATCAGTAGCTTGAATAATAAGTTCCTTAACATTGGTTGGATTCATGAAAGTTTAGAAGCTTAAAATAGGTTCTCTGTCTTGTTGTCCTGGCCGAGTTGGAACTTTTAAGGTGTTATCTATGATGGGTGGATGTATCCAGCTTGTGTCCTGGTGGTGCTGTTTTTTGATGGAGTGGGCCCTAATTTCATTTCCAAATTTACTGACATAGGATGTAAAGTATGGTCCTTGTACCTATAAATCTGAGTGCTTGCTCCTGCTTACCATAGTGACTTTTCTTCATTTGTTGAATCATTGGATTGGGCTGTTAGGTGTGTGTCTATGATAAGTATGTGTTCTTTTTATTTAATGTGTCAATCATTAAGTCAATGTTTTTTTTGGATCACTATTTATTCATCTGATTTTGCACTTTAATTTAGGCAACAGCAGAGCGATGAAACTCCTATGGTATGGGAGGTGCTTCTGTACATGTACATCCTCCATTCGCCAGATTGGCATTACCGCAGTACAATGCCCATCTTCCTCTTCCTATATGGTGCTGTTTTTGCCATCGTACATTCAGTGGTCCATTTGGGTATTGGCTTCAAAGTGCACTATGTCATCCTATGTCTCCTTTGCATTCCAAGAATGTACAAGTATTACATTTACACTCAAGATACATCTGCCAAGCGGCTTGGAAAGTTATACTTGGCTACTCTTGTGTTAGGCAGTTTGTTTTGGTTCATTGATCGTGTTTTCTGCAAGGAGATATCCCGCTTTCCCTTTAACCCACAGGGTCATGCTTTGTGGCATGTCTTCATGGGTCTCAATTCCTACTTTGCAAACACATTCATGATGTTTTGCCGTGCTCAACAGCGTGGGTGGTCTCCTAAAGTTGTCCATTTAATGGGCATTTTACCCTATGTGAAGATCCAGAAACCAAAAACCCAATGAGAGAACTTGAAAGGAGAATATGAAAGCTTCTCCATCAGCTTACATTTTGGCAAGCTAAGTTATTAGCAGACTATTTGTGTTCATGCTCAATTTTTGGTTTTGTTTTAGGTTGTCTGAAATGATGATTGATTATTTTACATATTTTGTTATAGAAGTAGGACATGTGCCATATTTATGTGGTCATACTGGTATTTTCTTGAGCCTGGACTATCCCTACGTTTAAAATTGCTTTGACAACCAAGACCGTTGTTTTGCTGTACTGGATGTTGTTGGACACGAGATTAACCCCTCAATATTCTAGTTGTAATGGATTATGACTTTACTCGCCAAATTTTATGTTGAGCTCTTTGAAATGTCATGTGCAGTTGCTGTTGCTTTCATTGGGAATTGTTCCTTCAGGAGCTTAGCAGTTTTAGGTGGGACAAATCATAGCTGCAGTTTTGATATTTTTCAATCAGATTCTCTAGTTAGAATATAGCATGTGGATATAGAAAACTTCATAGCAAACAGCCGAGTTATCTGTACCTAGATTCTGTTCTTCTGGTAGCTAGGACATTATGTATCTGTGCCTTCTGCCTTGTAGTGGTCTGACCTGCCAGTGTTGTGATGCTTTTAAAAGCTATCCTAAATCCTTGTGTTTTATCCAATTGGAATTTTGTTGTAGCTTGGGAATATTCTTGCTGGGAGAAAGTTCAAAATTTTTGGTGATCTTTCCTCTTTTGAAAGTAATATGTTGTTCAAGTGGGGATTCTTACTGTTTACATTTGCAGGATAATTTGCGTTAGTTTTAGCTGCATACGAGATCGAATGTGATCTTACATAGAATGTAATTTGTAAATGACGGTGAATAAAATATATTACCTTCGGTCCTAATTATAAAATTTCGTTTGTAGTTTATAAACATGGTTTTATAAATCGGACTGGAGGTGGTAAATTTTTTTTCCTTCCCTAGAATAAATACATAATTTCAAAGTAGTGGCGCTCTAATGAATCCTGTTTGAGGGGTCAGGTGTTTGAAAGGTCAGGGAGTGCGCGAGATAGATGAAGCATTTGATTTTTAAACTACCGTTCAGAGGCATCAGTGCGCCGTGGTAGAAGATTTTTAAAAAAAATGTTTTTTAGACGACGTTGTAGAGCATGGTTTGGTGAGGTGACATATTATAGGAGAATGACATTTGGATTCATTGCCTGGTGACTCTCTGGATATTGACAACTTTGGTATCACATATTAACTGCTTTTAAAAGGAATAACCAATACATAATTACAAGAAATTGTCATTCTCCATACAGGAGACTTTATGTTATTATATGTTATTCTCCCATCGGGAGTTTAAAACTGGTACCCACTTGAGGGAGATACATGTTTTGCCACATCACTGCCTCTCAAGCATGATGAGAGGATCCAAGTTTTACTTTGACGAGACATGTATCATTCACAGAAATGGATTATCAAAGCCATGTCATAATGCAGTTGAATGTTTCCCAGAACTTGCAAAATTATGAATTTATTATCAAATCTTCTAGCAAGAATACAAGATTTATTTTACAATCTATCCAGTATCACAATGTTGCCTCGTGTAAGGTCACACGTCATGATTGAGACTCCATGAAGTATTACATCAGAATTAATTAGACAGATTTTAGGTCTTGGTCAAAATTCAACCACGTTCTGAGATTCTGAATCACAATAGTGTGCGATTGGCCAAGAGAAAGGAGAGATTTTAATGGTCACGGTACACTATACACATCTTGACAGCTGCCTCAATCTTTTTAATCTTTTCACTCACGTAATGGCTAGCACACATGTACAAATATATCTTCCATTTCACTTGTGAATGAAACGCATAAAGTGTGAAGCTTTCCAACGTGGATCTACGACTGCCCTACGATCTTCCCTTCCAGCATTTGCCCAAGCCTCAGATACAAAGCTTCTTGTTCTTCGAAGGATAGGTTCATTAATATCTGAAGCAATCAGAGCCGTTAAAATCGCATTTGTCAAATGTTAAGTTAAATACAAAGGAAAACTCATGATATAATCGACACATTTACCTGATCCAGAACCAGTTCAACTGGGAAACTTTGAGGCACAACAAATGATTGATGATAGATGTATGCAAAAACAGCCATCACCATCTACAATGGGAAAAGACAGTAAAAAATTGATTAACAATAACAAGAAAACCTATGAAGTATGACCTATTTGAGAACCATCAAGTCATTTTAGCCGCTTATTCTTTTGAAAAGAAGGGAAGAACATTTCATGATAAAATAGATGAACCAATTCTGCTCGTGTATATTTTAATTAGAGGCAACAAATAAACCAATGCTTAGTCATGCATCCGGCCAAAATACTTCTTACATGATGGTATGAATATATACTTTTATTCTTGACAGCATGTTCCTAACATCCCTACTCACTACTCAACCACTTCATAGGTTATTATCAATGCCAAATGTTCATTGATCATGAAAGGATCCTAGAATGTTTTCAAGGATACACAAAATATAATTGATAAGATTTTCTTCCAATCTGCACATTTACTTATAGCTCAAGTGCCCGTGATCATTTTCAATGTTAATCTTTCCGTTGGATTGTGTTTCAGGGGGAATGAGGACGCAGGATGAAACTAGGCAATGCTAAACCTAGTTTTCAAATTATGAAATAGAAATATCTACTCAGGCAGAAGGGATACCTACATTGGTGAATGCGTTATCAGTATCATGTAAACATGCTATGTTCAATGTTGGCAATGTGTATGTATGTCAATACTCTACCTGGCAGTCCATTCTGTCAGTAATTCCACCATGTCCCGGGATACTGTCACCAAAATCCTGCAGAATTGAAGAACACAGAGAGAACTGTCAATAATACAAGATGGCTGAAAATAATATTTGCTCGCTGCATTGCAAAAGCGCCAAGTCCAGACCTTTATTTTAAAAGCTCTTTTGAAACCACTTGCGAAAAAACCTCCAAAAGGTGCAATAATAGAAGCAAACAAGCCAATACAGAGTGCATGCCATTGCACTGGTAGGATGGATATCTCTCTCCATGGAAACTGCACCAGATTTATGTCAGAGTCGTTTAGAGATTGTGGATTGGCACCTCATAATTACACCATAATCATCAGATTTATAAGCTGAACTGGCATGTAAAAGATGTGAATTTAAACTTCAGTAGTAGTTCAAAGATCCAATGTAAACTGCAGAGACATCAATTTTAGGCAAAATCATCCATTGACTCAGGGTCGTTAGCAAACGCCCTCAACTAACCAAAAATTTCTCCCTGAGCTACCTGCTTGCAGGATGCAGATATTTCTGCTAGTTCCCCATTAATGTCATTGACCAACATTCCACTTTAGACTCTTTCATTTGTCACTTCGCATGCTCTTATTGGTTAGAAATTAAAATAAAGTGGTTAAAATATTAAAAGAAGGGTTATGCAAAAAGGGAATCCCCACATTCCCAAAACCAAAACCCGAATTTTAGGAGCAGATAATTGATCAGTGAGCACAAGTCATGTGACAGATGAAAGAGACTAAACATTTGAGTTAACATGGTTTTAAGGGGAGCTAGCAAGAAGATCTAAATCCCAAAGGGTAATATTTCAATGGAGCATTTGCCATTCTCAACAGTGGAGGGAGGATGCATGTGAATGACCCGGTGTTCTGTGTTGGAAAAAGAGAAGAGGAGGTGGGGTATTTGCATTCGCCTCTTAATTTGATGGGGCAGAGAGGCACACATAACACCCTTTTAGTCTATGCAAACAAAAAGATTTCAAATGACTTTTCAAGGAATGACAGCATAAAATTTCCAAAAAACTAAGAGGTTCACAGAAAACGCGGGATAGATATCAGTTGCATTACATATCCTGTACTGTAGACTGCTGAGCGGAAATCCTCGAGTTACAATAATTTTCAAGCCGAAATTCAAATACTTACAAAGAGAGCAACCCATCCTGGTAAGGCATAAGACTCTGGCTTAAACAGTGGGCCTGGATCACAGTGAAGCCAACCAGTTGATAAATCCTGCATGTTATTTCCAGGGAAATTAAATTAAATTACTTATTTGTTGAAAAATGCCCCATCAATGAGCTATGGTCTCTTGAAGAGCTACCTTCCTAGGACATGTTAGCCACTTAGAGCGACCCATGAGGTTTGCTAGCTGCAAAAGGAGATTTGTAGAATTACGTTAATGTCTATTAGTACAACTTCATTTCTGTACACATCGAAGGGGAAAAAGCAGGGATCTGCCGTTAAATTAAGGCGAGTCTACAGGTCTTTTCCTTTTTCATAATCACATGCACATAAATATTGATCGACATATCTAAATGCTTAAAAGCTTTTTACTTTCTCTTTTTTTGGCCCAGAGAGAAACAGAAGAGAAGTTTAATACATCAGAAAAGGTGATTTATAGGGGATTCCCAATAGCATACTCTGTATACTAATAATAACACATCATACATTTGACTGACTCATGAGGAAATCTAAGAATGTGAGATTTAGGCCCTCCACAATAAAAAATGATAAACCAAATGAATAGACAAGGGAAAGAATCACGAAAACAAAATAACGATTAGTGGATGCAGAAAAGCAATGGCAAGCAATGCACGTGTCTTTCAAGTAATTTTCTGACACCATTTGAGATTTAAGAATAACAGTGCAATGTGCCAACCGTAGACCCATCAGCAACACCAAACACTATTGGCATTACCACGCAAATTTCTAGGACTTTCACAAGCACGCTTTTGTGTAGCTCGTTTAGGCTGTTGCAATCAAATAAACTTTGATTAAATGAAATTTATGTTATTTTACGAGTGATTATGTTAGTTGAATATCTCTCCCTCCAAAAGGAAAAAAAAAATCCATCTTCATTACAAAATTGAAAGTCAAGCTCACCAAAAATGCAGAGATGATAGTTGTAACCGATGCACCAATAAAACCTTCCCATGTTTTCTTTGGAGATAGCTTTATCAAAGGGGTTCTTCCGAAGAAGAAACCAAAGATATAAGCAGCAATGTCATTAATGACAATAAGGGAGGCTGGAAGAAGAAACCTGCAGAGTGAGCCCGTTGTCAGTGTCAGAGAAAATAAGCAAAACGTTTAAATATCAATTATTTCATATGGTCAATTCCAAGTATACAAAGTCTTAAAGCCACCAAACAGCAACTGTGAATTATTAAATATAATCACAAAAAAAAAAAAATATGGGCAATTCAAAATGAAGAGCCAATGTCACCTAAAACAAACTAAACAAGAAAAAGGAAATGTATTTGGCCAACTCTAATGAAGGGAAAATGGTTGAGTTGGGAGAGCGCTTGGTGATGTGCTAAATAGACAAATCCTATGCAAATAAAAAGTATGAATTGACGAAATTTTCTC